AGAGGCAGGGATGCTTACGAATGATTTCAGCGAGAGAGAAGGAAACCACCTGGCTGTGGGCACTGCTGGTCCCTTTTCCAGCTGAGAGAAGAAGGCGCAAGAAAGGGTGCCCATTGGAGTGGAGACCGGCAACGGTGGCCCGTGGAGAAAAGGGCAAGAAAAGGGTTCTTGTTGTTCTTCCATGGGGCAAGGCACCCGCGGGCCAACAGACCTTCCGGATAGTATGAATAAGGCCTCAATTAAGAAGCGCCCGATCTCTAGGGAGTACCTGCACTTACACACCGGGGGATTCTTCATCGTCTAGTACCGATACGGATACAGCTTTGTGGGCAAAGGGAGCGGTAAATGAGAGTTCTAAGCATAGTTGGATTTAGAGTGTGGTGCCCCTCTAGGCTTTGCGACGCTGCGCGTTGGGCTGAGCCGGGGTAGGCTTGCGCCGCTTGCCAAGCTCGGCGCCAAGAGCTAGTACAAACGTGGACGATTGAGGCTTGGGGGGGAAATCGACGACTTGTCAGTGTCTAGTTAGTGTTGCTGGCTATGTGTCGACCGCGTGCCGTGTGCCGGTCAGCAGCAAGTCACGAGGAGCTGTGTCGTGTTAGCTGGCCTCACGATGTTGCTTTGCAGTAGTAGTAAGATGAGTAGTGAGTAAGGTCTAGGTAGTGGTCAGTCGTCTCCCTGGAGGCCAGTGAGGGAGCCGGCAATGAGACACCGAGACATCGGGTGAGCGCCCAACCGTGGGGTTTGATTGGCATCGCTGGATCGTCGGAACGCTAATAGATGTGGGAAACGAGGTGACACTGGGGACAGTGACGATTGACCCGGATACTCTCGGTTGCGGTGTATGAAGTATGGAGACGGTGAGCCTTGAGGGGAGATGTTTGGGCTGCCTCAAAAACAACCTCCTCCCCTTCCTGGTGCTCTTGCCTTGACTCTTGACGACAGTTGCGTTTGGACAGGTTTTTGGTGTTGCACGAGTAGTGAGTCCCTAACGCCAATCGTGGCAGTTGACTGGGGCCAGAATAAGAAAGCTTTTTCCCATCTTGCACCTTACGTAGAGGCTGGGACACCCATGAGAATTGTCAGAGCTTGGTGAACGAGAATGACACTGGCAACAGCAACAAACGAATCATCAACAACACCAACAGACCCCCAAAAAAAAAAGTCACAGACAAATGCCGGACAGGTGCCATATTGCGATGTGATGGGGATCGCGGTTTTGGGACAGCGACTACGGCGTGCTAAATGGCGTTAAACCCTGGATGTCTTTTCCCGGTTGGGAAAGGCGCGGCTGGGTACCTCTTCACACACAGTAAGGCAGGGTAGCTCAAGGCCCGTGGCACGGATATGACCGACCGTCCGGGTACACCTGGCGGGGGGCGGCCCCTTTGAGATGCTACGCCGGTGATCAATTCGGTCACTGGTGTCAATCACTGTCAACTAATCCCTTCTTCTGCACTCAGACATGTAACAAGGTAGTAGAGGGATTGACAAAACTGACCTCACCGGTCGCGGCCTTCCAGCTTTCTCTCCAACTCAGTCCCGTCCAAATGAGGGAGGGCAATAGCACTGAATGATATAAACAACGGGGATGCCGCCTGCCCGCGTAGTTGACACAGTCCACGGTTCGCATCGTAACTCATGAAAGAACAACCTTGACCTCTTGCAACGCACCTTCCTTGAACTTCTATCTGTACTTGAATGTCATCACTCCTCCCCACTTTCAGCATAACGAACCGTACGTCAACAGTCAACGCAAACCGCAACACTTTGACGCGAGATCCCCGCCTCCAAACTTGAAAAAACACACTTTTCTGAGATCATCGTATCTTCTTCTCTGACAAGACACATCTCCTCGACTCAACATCCCACAATATCCAAGCTTCTCACCTATTCTCGAACCTTGCAACCTGCGAATACCTTGCCACATCCATCTTACCTATCCCCGCAAAGCCGTTTCACCTTCGACTCTCGACGACAACAACTTGGGCCAAAGAAGATACTCTTTGTCAACACTCCGTACCCAGCGTCTTTATTTTTCTTCTTTGCCAGTATAGTCGGCACAAACCCAGCTTGTGTCCCCTACCGCGCGCTTGTTCAGTGGAGACCACTTTGGACCCCTCGACGTCTTCGTCATTCTGATTCTGCCACTCGACGCAAAAGCAATCTCATTGGGACATCCAGTCAACCCGCCCAGAACATACCACAGACAGCTGAGCGCCTGGTTAACACGGATTCAACTCTCCGTCCCGCTGCGTTGCGCTGTCTTGCCCAGACTCCCCGCCCGTCCTACCGCCTACCCAAGACAGGATTCCTCAAGAGGGTTCCACCGCTGACGCTCTGGCTCCCAACCGAGCGGAATACCGGCACGCATCGCACCAATGGCCTTCGTCTCCCAAGGTAAGCCATGCCATTTTCCCATGTTTGCCATGTCTTTCAGTTTCTTGTCCGTCCCCCAAGCACACCAATCTCCATTCCTCGCCTCTTCTTTTCTTTCCATTTCCTCAACCCACTCAGTCCCCTCTCTCTTTTGGTCGGAACCCTTGTCGCCCACTCGTCATTCCACGATGCTCAAGAGAGGAAACTGTCCTCCGCCGCCGGGATTCCCGTGCTCTCTCGCAGAACGGAGGCTCCTCCACCTTCAGGCCACTCTACATTTTCTCTTCACTTGCACCACTTGTTAGTGTTTTTTTTTTGTTGGGATTATATCTCTCGGCAACTTTCCATGAAAGCCTGAGAATGGTGTGGCACCATCAGAGTTCGGAACATGACACAGCCAAACACCAATCGTCATGACTTCCATGTGCGCATGGAGTGCCCGAGTCCCTCATGCAGGTCATCCCAGGCTGCCGCTGGCTGGCTGTAAGCTGCTGGCTACTGCAAGTTGCTGCTCAGTGTTTCTGCAGACCAAGCAAGAACAACCAGCCAAAAGTATCCGTCCAAACTTCACCGCTGGTGTGTGTCTCTGAGCGAGTTTAGTGCTCCGGCTTCTGCGTTTGTTCCTACGTCCAATGCTGCATGTCCTCCAACATTTTGTTAGATCTTCCCCGCCTCTCGTGCCGTACTACCCTGCCACCCCTAGTCACTGGCTGGCATTGCTGTGCTTTGCTGCGGCCCAGTCATCTCATCGCTGCTGCTGCTGCTGCTGCTGCTGCGCTCGACTGTGCCTTTGCAAGCGGAAGGCCGAGCCCGAGCGAGCGAACTGCGCAGCGCTGCGCAGCACCCAGCGATGGAGCGAGAGCGAACAAGAAACACCAGGGCACGCAAGTCAGACCTCGTAGGGATCCCCTCCAAGTCTCCTACACCGGGGCCATTCGTTACCCGCCGTGCACAGGAAATCCAAGAGGCGGAACGACGGTTACGTGTTTCCAGATGCGGCAAAACAAGAAGAGCCAAAAAAGCATAGGCCAGTGGCCACTCTTCTTCTGACTGCAACCTGCTCTAAATACCGTGACTATCCCACCCCTAGCCGTCTGAGGCTCCATTCCCGCGGTTAGTTCCAGCTACTGTGTTCCATTCACTATTGAGCGAAAAGAGAACGCCCAGAGGCGGGATTACCAGTGCGGAGTCTCGCATTCTCATTTGCTCATAACTGCTGCTGCTGCTGCTGCTGCTGCTGCTGCTCTCGTCTCGTTCCTGACCTTGCCGTTCCGGTCTCATTAACTGGTCTCGTCTTATTCGGGAGGGGATTCGTAATTGCCCAAGACGCTAAAGGATCAAACGGCAACACTCATCACCGAACTGCCTCAGCAAAGAAACTCCGACGGCGTCTCGCCCTGTTCTATTTTCCTCTCACCTTTTCACCTCTCCAATCTTCTTTGTTCCTTCCTCTCTACTATCCAGAATTCCAGTTATTCTGCAACGGTCTTCTCTTACCTACCCACAACAAAGGGAGCAGCCTCTCACACTCATCTGCGTTCAACCATTTGCCCCCCGGCTTCTACCCATCTTATTTACCACCACCCCCCGACGCTATTATTCCACTGAATACTGGCCCCAAAAAAACTCCCCGCTGCGACCGCTACCTGACCTCCCACCACTTTATTACCGTCGATCTTCCACCATCGGTTCCCCCACAATAAACTAAGATCGTATCTTCGCGCAGAGCCTCCCACAATGACAAACACACCACGAAGCCCGTCGACCAAGAGCCAGGCTAGTCTTCGCGACACTGGCTTCCCTGAGCCTTTCAACGGGGGTAAGTTTCTTTCATTATACAAGATCTATGGCCTGTTTACTAACAAATACAGAACGCAACACTACGCTCCCCCATCCCGACGCCAACCTCTCGCCCAACGCAATTATCTCGCAGGAGGATCTCGCTGGAAACCGAGCCCGTACACGACGTTCTTTCCTGCAAAAGCACAGGCGCACCATTAGCCATGGACGTATCACCCCTCAAATGGAGGCACTCTACAGCAGCGAAGCCCTAGCCGAAGCCGAAGCCGCCATCCTCGAAGCGGATGTTCCGTCCAACACCAGCCAGTCTAGTTTACCAGCCGCGGGACGCGTGAGCAGAGACGATGCCGAGAGCATGCTTTCTCACAGCGGTGGTGACCTGTCGCCCGTCACGTCGGCTCAGAGCAACGGACGAAAAGGCAGCTTGTTCAGAAAGCTGGGCTGGAAGAAGCCGTAGAGTCACAGCATCTGCGATACGAAAGTGAGGAATCACGAAACTAAGCGGCGAATTATCGATTCAATGTACCGCGCACACGATTACACGGCCGAAAAGAATTTGTAAAACAGACACACCACAGCGCAAGCACGGAGTTTTCTTTTGACTCGCAACACGGGGTTGGGCACAACCGAGGCGGGCTTGGGATTTTGATTTTGGGAATATCGGGACATGGAGTATTGGGATGGTACATCATCAGGCCATCATCATCGAGGATATTGGTCCTCTGGATTATCACCTTCACAGACGGTCCTGACGGATGGAAATGTGCATCACGAGGGACAATAACCTACGACGGTGAAACAGACTATCGCTAAAACATGGTAATTCTATCGTTTAGTTGCAATTCCTTTGCACTATTCACTTGATCCTTTCTTCTGCCCTTTGAACGTGATGATCGATCCGCCCTAGTGACCTTGATATTTCTTGACATGTGAGCTACCATAGTACTTCAGGCACCCCCAAAGCAAAATGTAACGAACCCATGGATGCATCAGCCGGACCTTCATATCAGAGACTAGCCCATCACATGAATCCCTCTTTTCGGTTCTCTATCCCCATGGAGCTATCCCACTCACAGCCATGAACCAGCTCACCTCATTCCCTCCGCAAAATCCGAATTCTCCCCCCGTTATGGCCTTGACATTCGGACAAAAAGATTAGCTGCCCCGGTAGGTGGTATAGCTGTACGGGCTCAACAGCAACGGAACATGATAATGCTGGCCCCTCTTCACCGTGAAAACCACCACGGCCTCGGGGAAGAAGGTCTCGTCCTCGCCGCCAAAGTAGGACGCCGTGTCGAACTTTAGCGTCCAGCGGGACGAGGTCGCGGTGGAAGTGGCTTCTATCTCGCCGAGGACGTCGTCGAGGGTGTAGACGGGGACTTCGCCCGACGAGGTGGCGGAGGAGAAGGGGAGCCAGGATTTGACGCGGCCGTCTTCGTCTGTGGTGGATTCGAATTCTTTGAGGATGCCTCCGGATGGCGCGCCGGGGGACGAAGTGCCGGCGGTTGTGGTGTTGGCGGGGGACGGGATGGTGGTGGAGAGTTGGACGCGGACGTTGCGGGCTGGTTTTCCGGCTGATGTGTCTAGGACGTGGCAGGTTATGCGGTCTTTTGTCTGGGTGGTGGCCATTTTGGGTGATGTTGGATTTGCTGCTGTTGGGGCCGTGGATGTCGTTGTGGTGGTGTGAGGGTCGAAATTTAGTTTGCTTCGTAGGGGCATGGGGTTTAAGGTGTTAAAGTAGAGATTGGGCTGAGTTGGGTGAGTGAGTGAGTGAGTGAGTGAGTGATAGGTCGAGTGAGGTGGGATGAGGTGAGGTGATGGTTGAGAGGTGAAGTGAGGTGAGGCTCACGCTGGATGGCGGGGTAAATTCGCCTGCCTGCCTGCGTGTAAGGCGGAATTGCTTGGCTCTCCTGCCTGGTTGAAGTGGGGCGATTTATAGGACCTGAGTCCAGGTCAAGAAGTACCGGGCTTACAGTTGCTGGTCTACGGTTCTATCAAGAGGAAACAGTGGAGGAGATATCAAAGATGACATACAAATCAATTGGAAAGAATTTGAGATGAGTTTTGGTCTACCGCGCGGGGAAAGAGTCTATAGGGTTTTTTTTCTTTTTTTTTTTTGCTTCTTCGGGGGACCGAAGTCGGTGCCGGACGGCGCCGTGATGCGATGGCGGGAGAATGGTGGGATCCACAAAAAGTAATTGGACGGACACGGAGATGGCCCCGGAATGAAATGCCCTTTCAAAGGTGCGTCTTGAGATGACTAAGGCATCTATTGAACTGACCAATTTCAGATTCGAATTTGGAAACACGTTTCCCAATTCTTTTGCCACGATGCGCAGGATCAGAGATGGCGGATGCGGAACCCAAGCTATGTGGGTTTTTTCCTCCCGAAAAAAGGTACCTGAAGGTCAGAACCAAAAGGGAGGCGCGCTTCATTTGACCCTTCTTTTTATCACCGAGCTGGCTTATCAGTGAGGTAAAGCTGGAAGGATATACCTTGGCCTTGTTTTGACAAGCCTCCGCGCTGCTTTCTCCTACCAACCTTGCCAGCATTTTGGAAGATCTCACGGGCGAACTAGGGGAGCAGTGTTTCTGAAAAAGTACTCTCCAGTCCAGTGGTTGATAGCCGCTCTCTTCGACAGATGAGATTGTTATGCGATAAATCCAATAACCATCAGATGCATCCTACGTATCCCCTCTACCTTACTCAGTAAATTAAAGACTCCCATACTTTACGGCCAAACGTCCGCAAGATGGTGGAAGGATGGAGGGGCACAGACAAAAAGCTCCGGCACATGCCGGGGGAACAGAACGGGAGGCCCCGGCGGGTGGACCTGGACCTTGGTGTTGTTCGTGTGAGGCTGGAGTTTTGAAAAAAGGTCTGGGCTTCTGTCACCGCACCACCACAGAAAGCCACGCCAAATGGCAGCATACGTCATTTAGACCGTGCGCGCTTTACGATACTAATCGTGCTTATCGTAGGAACCTTGTTTGCCCTCAAACCAATCAGAGACTCTGCAATTGACGGCAGACCGTGATGACGAGCGGGATGTCCTCTCTGATTTGGATACCAAGACGCCAACAACGAGCCAAGAAGAGGCCAAGAAACCAGGAAGACCATGCAGAAGCCAGTGAAAAAGGGCCAGTTCGCCTGGTGTTGTTGTAGGCTGCAAGTACGGGACTAACTGGGTAATCAGTGAAGTCAATGGCTCGTTCAAATCGTACCATGGAATTTTTTTCTTCATTTTGAGTTTTGTACCACTGCGACGGTCCGGATACCAAGCGTCTAAGATGGCCTAGACCTTTTTTTACTACGCATGTTGATGTACGATTTCATCTTGAGGCTTCTAGTGTACTGTGATTCCCAGCCATGACGGATGCATCCTTTTTCTTTTCAAGCAGGGTGTCATGATGCAATTCCAACTCCAAGCCTCCACGATGCACTCACCTAGAGAGAGAAGCTGGGCCATGAAGGACCTCAAGAAGGGGGAGACTCAAGGCACTTTTGGTACTCTGAACGATGCGCCAGATGAAGAAACCTATACTGCGTACATCCGTGCCAAAAAAAAAAAAACACCAAGAAGCTTGGCTCGTCCCGGCTGACGTACGACACACGCGATCCACCACCACCACCACACCAAGCAAGCGCGCAACACTCCCACATTGGCACATGAAAAGGGGAAATCACCGCCAAGCAGAGCCAAGTGTGAAATGAGCGCAACACGCATCTTAGTCCCGTTCCCGTAGTCCAAACCCCCAAGAAAGCCCTGTTGGCATTGCATCCATTCAAAGATATAGACACCATGGACGTCCGTCATATACTTTCTGTCCCCCGACCGCTCCTTCTCTTCAGATATTCATTCGCGTCCATCGCTCTCTCGGTGACAGCGACACAATAAAAGGAAGTCAGACAGACAGAAGAAACGTCAGTCCGTGAGGGTAATTGATCAGCAAAAACAACGAGGGCCTTCATGGCGACCCCCACAAACCACCCCGTCACGAACCCCAGAGAGGGCGTCACGTACCTCACCGAAGACGAAATCACCTCCTTCCTCGACGACCTAGACCACAACGGCGACGGCTACATCGACTACGCTGAAGTCGAAGCCAAACTCGACGCCGCCCACGACGAGCTCGCGCCCGGCGGTCAGGTTAAACCTCACCACGTCATCAGCCGTCACACCTCTCCAGAGAAACCAAATCAGTCGCCGTCCTCGTCAGACGAGAACCGCCTCCGCCATGAATTCCTCCGCTCCATAATGGGCCTCACCGGCTCCGAGCCAGGCAACATCTCTAACCCCACCGCTTCCGCCGACGACACCACCCGTACCCACCGCATCCCCCGCGCCGCCTTCGCAGCCCGCGTCCGCGAATGGAAAATCCCCTCCCTGAAACAAGACGTAGACTCGGAAACCTCCCAGCGAAACTTCATCCAACACCTCCGCCTCTCCCGCCGCCTCCGAGCTTACTGGGCCGTCCACGGCCCCGAAATCGCCTTCCTTGCCCTCGTCGCATCCTCCCTCATCGCCTTCGGCGTCTGGCAATGCGTAAAATACGCCACCACCCCGCGATATCGCGCCGCCTTTGGCTGGGGCGTCGTCCTCGCAAAGACGTGCGCCGGCATGCTCTATCCGACCTTCTTCTTCCTGATCCTCAGCATGTCGCGCTACTTCTCCACCATGCTCCGCCGCTCCTACCGCGTTTCTCGTTTTGTCAACTGGGACCTCAGCCAGAGCTTCCACATCAAGATCTCGTGCCTCGCGCTCGCGCTCGCGACGCTGCACGCCATAGGCCACCTCACGGGCTCCTTCTACCACGGAAGCCGACCCGAGAACCAGGACGCCGTGGCAGCGGTCCTAGGTCTGGACGCGGTGCCGAGGCCGTACGTCGAGTACGTCCGCTCTCTACCCGGTTTCACGGGCCTCACGGCGCTAGGCCTCTTCTACCTCCTCGCCCTGCTCAGCATGCCCGCCGTCCGACGGTGGAACTACGAGGTCTTTCAGCTCGCGCACCTGCTCATGTACCCCATCATCGGCCTCATGATGGCCCACGGCACCGCGGCGCTGCTGCAGTGGCCCATGTTCGGCTACTTCCTCGCCGTGCCGACGCTGCTCATCCTCGTGGAGCGCGTCGTCCGCGTCGGCACGGGGTTCCACAGGATCAGGGCGACGCTGACGGTGCTCGACGGCGAGACGGTCGAGGTCGCGGCCACGATCCCCAGCGAGCGCATGTGGAAGTACAGGGCTGGGCAGTACGTGTTCCTGCAAGTGCCTGCCATCAGCGCGTTCCAGTGGCATCCATTCACCGTCTCTATTTGTAAGGGGCGGGAGTTCCGGCTACACATCAAGACGTATGGGAACTGGACGAAGCGGCTACGTAATTTGGGCGGGAAGGGCGAGGGAGGAGCCGATGCGGCAACGGAGATTGACGTGGGCATCAACGGGCCGTTTGGCGCGCCGGCTCAGCGGTTCTACGACTTCAACCACACCATCATCGTGGGTTCCGGGATCGGCGTCACGCCCTTTTCCGGCATCCTCGCAGACCTGCAGGCGCGTGATGACGAGGAGCACGGGGGACCGACGCACTCGCATCAGCACCGCAACCACCAACACCGCCACGACTCGGAGACGACCGTCGTGACGGAGAAGAAAGAGACCAACGAGCGAAAGGGCTCAGAATCGACAATGGCTGCAGCGGCAACAGAGGCCCCGGATGGAAACGACCCCACGAAACCACCCAATCCGTCAGAGGCCTTCACCTTCGCGCCCGACTACCGCCGCGTAGACTTCCACTGGACGGTCCGCGACCGCAACTACCTCCTCTGGATCGCTGACCTCCTCAACTCGGTCTCGCGAAGCCAGGACTGGCACCGCCGCCACGAGGGCCCCTCCCAGCACCTCGACATCCGCATCGCCACGCACGTCACCCAGAAACGCAGGGACATTGTCACGCACGTGTACCGCTGGCTTCTCGAGATGCACCGCACCGAAGAGCACCCAGAGAGCCCGCTGACGGGCCTGCTGAACCCGACGCACTTTGGCCGGCCCGACTTTGATGCCATACTAGACCGGCACTACGAGGATATGCGGAGGTTCCGTGCCAGCAAGAGGATGAGAGCGAACGCAGGCAGCGGGGCCGCAGCCGACAGCATAGCAAACGCAGGGGAGGAAAGAACAGACGGGAACCACCGCAGCGAAAATAGGGACGCTAGAGCCGACGACCGCGGTAGTACCCGAGGCGCTAGCGGCGAGCGGCGGGACGTGGAGGAGGAGGACGAGGAGTTAAAGGTCGGAGTGTTTTACTGCGGAGCGCCGGTGGTCGGGGAGATCCTGGCAGACAAGTGCCGGCAGCTCACGGTGCGTGGGCGGCACGACGGCAGCAAGATTGAGTATCACTTCATGATTGAAGTCTTTGGGTAATGGATTTTTTTTTTGCTCCGAGCCTCCGTTCATGTAGCTTTGGCCGGTAGCTTGGCCTTTGTCAATGGTTGGATGAGCAGCAAAATAGACATATAGTTCGGTCGGCCGCACTGGCGGGCGCCGGTGTTAGCTGTTGGTCTGAGTTGGTTCTGAGTAAGACCAAACGCAAAATAATGAGAAGAACCATAGAGGCACGGAACAGCAACCGCTTGGGAACCGCTCGTGAGTTTGGGAAGAAATCACCACGTTCCTGTCTCCCCGACAGGCTGACGTGGATGGGCGACGAATCCTATTCAGGCACGCCACGAGTTAATTGTATGGGACAAACTGCGTTTTCAGTCCCACTACAATGCCTTTCTGTCGTCGTCGTCGTCGTCTTGGTTTAATCCAGGACGTGCACGCGCGCGCGGCCGTCGGAACTCTCGCCCTGCGTGAACGAGGATATCGAGTCGGGTTCAGGCCCGTCTCAACAGACGGACGCGCGCCACTGTCAAGGGATCTGTCGTAGGAAAAAGTCGCAGGAACCTGTACACAGGGAAGAGGGAAAAACGTTGTCTCCCCGCGTCGGGCCCCCTTTCTCTGCTCTCTCTCCAACCATCATCCCTTGTGTAAGTCCAGGTCGGCCTTTTTTGCCGATGGGTCCATGAACCTGGACTTTCTCTCTTTTTCCCGCACAGCAAAGTGTTTCTGGTTAGCCATTTTTATTTCTCCGACGAAGAGTCCTTGGACAAGGGTCCCGGAGTCTCGATGCCCAGTCGTCTCTGTGGTGAGGTGCATGTTGCGCGACTCGCTCGTCCTCCGGTTCCCACTTGACACACGTCTTGTCTTGGTCTCGCCTTTACGCGCCAGATCTTCCCTCCCCTCTTCTCCATCCTCGGCCTTCTACCCCACCCAACCATGGTCTAAATTCGACCATTATGTGTGAGTGTGTGCCTGGTTTTCGATGCAGTGTTACATTGTCAGTATTGGGGACCTTTCTTTCCCTAGGGCCTAGTGCGCCAAGGGATATGGGGTAGGGGGGCCCAAACTCTGACAGGCAGAGGAGACAACGTGAAGGAGGCCAGGAGCCAAGAAGAAACGTTGCGGGGACGTCGATCACGGGCATCAGTAACTGCAGCATGCAGCATACGGAAGCTCAACCTTTTAGCAAAGAAAAAGCCCTGCAGATTCCACAACGGAGAGGAAAATCTGGCCATTCTTGGCTTTTCCTCCGTATGCCAGACGCCATATGCCAGAACGGGGCCCTTGTTCGCCGACACGGTCGCGAGCAACGGTAACAGATGCCGCTGCCACTCTGCATCCTTCACCTCACCCCCCTCTTCCCGTCGCCACTACTGCAGGCGAACGGCATGAGGGACCTGTGAGAAGGGGCCAAGGACGACGAATGGATGACACACAGAGTTTTCCAGACGACAACAGACCCCGCCAGGACGCTCGAGATGAAATTTTGTGAACAAGCCAACCGTTGCTTAGCCCGGCCACGAGATGACGAGGCCACGAGATGACGAAGCTCGTTGGAAGCTCACCATCTAGTCCATTCTCGCCCAAAGAATCATCTGCGGCCGCGAAGGACCCCTTTTCGACGCTCCGGCCAAGCCAGTGAGCACTAGAGTTGAGGAGAAAAGGAAAACACCGGACCAAAGGGTTCGTATATACGAGGCGCCCTCTTCGCACAGCGTTCTATTCGAAAAACTGTAATTCGCAATTCGAACTATCAAAGATATCAACTCGAGACTCCAAGACACGGTATTGCATTGAGCCGCAATCGCCAAGATGTCTTTGCTGATCTACACTGGGCTAGTCAGTTGATCTAGAATGGTGCGAGAATGACTTGGTAGCGTAGGCGGGATGTGCGTTTGGATCTGCTTGCTCTGTTACATCGCGCTCTCGTCCTCTTGGCACACTTGATTGACATTCTGCTGCCAGAGCTTGGTCTCTGCAAGGTTTTGGATTAGGACATAGGCTCGCAGGCTCGCAGGGCCCGTAGTCCAAAAATGGACTCTTTGGTTTCTGGGGCTGGTGTTGAGTAGTCGAGTGGCTGACATCGTACGGCGGCGGATTCCCTACCTCTCGCCTCCATCCCCATCCCTCGACCCCTGCCCAACCGAACCGACCACTCACAGTACACACGTAGACACAAATTGGTCCTAATCTTGAGGCGACACCATGAGGCCGAGACGACTCTGGACAGGCTGACCTTACTTTTCTCCATGGTTTGGTAGTGCTGTCGATCGATCAGCAGTGTTTCGTCGCGTCCGGGCTGGGGTGTCTGAAACGGACAATGCGTGGGCGCTGGGATGGACGTTGGAGTGAGAGGGGCCTGCCAAAACATGCCGTTTGAGCCGCATCTGAAGCACTAAAAATGCTAGCGGGGGAGGCTATCGTAGCAATGGCGGCATCTACATGCCGCATTCTCTATGTGCCGTGGGCAATTCTTCTGGTTTTCGAAAACGTCGTTCATGGGAAAAGAGTCCGTGATGTTTCTTCTTGCACCCATTAGCGCCCTCCCACTTTCCGAGGAGGGGGGGACACGTCAGGTTTATAGCGTGTAACAACTGTGAATGTCAATGATCACAGATTTTGTAACACATGATTGAGGCTCAAACCAGGGCACTCTGGCCTGTTGACGGCAGGTGTTGCCGTGAGGTCAAACAGAAGAATACGCAGAGAAACGGCGCTCGAGCCATGGCCACTAGCAAGCAGTACCACGCCGAGGAATATCCAGGTTAGCAAGCAGGACATTTGGCATTTGGGTTTTTTTTCTTGCTTTCGCCATCCCATTCGGGACCATGCGCTTACTGTAGAAAGAGTAGAGAGCGAAAGAGAGCGAGACCGGGTGTGAGTGGGCACAGCCGGCCAGGCACTGCGTAGCGGAAGAGGGGGTTGAGACATGCCATCTGAAGGACGATTCGTTGGATGGGCGAGCGACTACTCTGGTGTCCAGAGTGCGTTTGGTATGTCGGTTTCGTGCGAGTGCCGTAGAAGAGAGGGGACGCTGGAGATGGGATGAATATCCACGGACGGTTGCGAGCCGGCAGGGGTCGGTGGATGGGAGCCCGCGAGGGGTGTAGGAGAGGGTTTGGTATAAGACTTGGCCACGTCTTCCCCAAGAGCCTCCTCCCAACGGTCCTGTCACCTGCGGTCATCTCATCCTCCCGATCCCTTCACTTCTTTACACTCGCCTTTCTTTTATTGCGGCCGGACCGCCTTTTTTTAAACCACCCAAACGAATAAACGTTCCACTCCATCAGCCGTCAATATGCAGCTTTCATTCCTCCTCGTTCCCCTTCTGTCCATTACGGCCTTGGCCAAGGACCACAATGGCGGTGGCGGCAAGAACTCGACAGAGGCCCAGTGCAAGCGCTTCTTGAAGGGTGAGAAGTTGGTCAAGATCGCCGGCAACGATACTCTCCTCGCCGAGATCACCAACAACAACGCGACAAAGATCGACTTCATCAAGAAGAAGGCCGCCGAGGTCCAGCCCAAGCTCGACGAGGCCAAGAAGAATTCGACCTTGATGACGAGCTGCGACCAGGTTCGTGCTGTTCAGCAGGAGAACGGACAGTGCCGCTTCATGAAGCGCATGGACAAGTTGGAGAAGCTGGTTGCCAATGAGACTGCCCTCAACGCTGTCACCAAGAACAACGCCACCAAGGCCGACAAGCTCAAGGCCTTCGCCCAGAAGGGCCAGGCCAAGCTCACCGACCTGCAGAAGAACACCACTCTCCTCTCGTACTGCTCCATGCAGACCACCAAGGGAGAGTGTAAGCAGATGAACAAGTTGAAGTGAGTGACTCCTCTCAATGCAAATCCAATGGGCAATATGCTAACCACGCCGCCACTATAGCAAGCTTGTTGCTCTTTCCAAGAACGACACTGCCCTGAACGACAAGTTCAAGGGCAACACCACCAAGATCGAGAAGTTCAAGGCCAAGGCTGCCAAGCAGGAGGCCAAGCTCAACGCCATGATGAACAACTCAACGCTCATGGGTGTCTGCCAGCAGCTCAAGGCCGGCAAGGGCAGCAGCAATGGCGGATCCAACAACAGCCAGAACGGTATCGACAGCGGCGCAGCCGGTGTCAGAGCCGCTGGTGCCCTCAGCTTGGCCGCCGTTGTTAGCGTTGTCGTCGGCCTGATGATGTAAATTATCGGATCGGTGTGAGTTGGAACTTGTTTGCGGGGCCTAAACGTGGTCGTCGGTCTCGAGTAACAACGCGGGGGAGGCCGGCGCCATTCGCCACGACCTTGATGCATTTGCGCGTCTTGTACAAAACCGCTGTCGATTAGCTGGGGATACATCTTAGTGTTTCACTCATTCGGATGGCTCGACGTAGACCTGACTTGGTCAGTCTGACGTTAGATGGGCTCCAAGCTATGATTATATTCATATGTAATGAGTGGCTCGAGGGTAATGTGTTGGTAGAGCAAAGAGAAAATTGGAAAGTTACAGTCGTTACCAGGTTGTCGAGGTGTGACTAATGTGTGATTTGTCTAGTTTCAATTTTCCACCATCGAGTTCCAATGATCTGTGTCTGCTGAACCAATTCGTGCGATTTCTTTGTTTGCTTGGCTTCTGGTACTGAAGAAGATTTGTTGAATGTTTCCCGTAGCATTACCAATTCCTAAGATTGACATACTGATTAGAATGGTGTGCCAGATGGTGGGCAATCTATGGGTTGATGAAATTTCAAAACGCCCTGGATAAACATTAGTACGGTAACTGAGGCGTAAATGACTGATCTTCTTACTGACTTTGCGAGAAAGAAAAAGTAGAGAAACTTAAGAAGCAATTTACTGTGAGCCCAGATTGACGGCAAAAGATTTGGCTAGTAGCGCTTGAAAGCTCCTGTGTGCGTTTCAGACTTGAGGGTCATAACGCTTATCATATTAGTAGATTTTCCGATGAGAGTGTTTGATTGACAACATACATGTGTGATTTTGTGGCTCTTTGATAATAGTTGGGAATGTCTTTGCTGTATCCAAATCAAAAGAAAGGAAATGTAACGAAAAGTGCTCTACATGTCGAAGTAGTCGCATGGCACGTCCAGGAGACCGCTATCAATGCCTGTACCACAAGTGATTACCGAAATCCTCTGTTGTAAATCACCATGGAAAGCCGCTTTTTCGGCGGGAGTCCAAGGTGTTATGGGGGACCATCGAGCAGGAGGTCTGGCTCGTCGTCCCCGGCGACTGTCGGTCCGCCCGCCTCTGACATTTGGTCGAGAGTCGGAGCCCCTCATCTTCCTGGCGTTCCGGGTTCTTTTGGCCAGCGGGGTACTTGGAATAGTTTCTTCATGGCCATCCTTCTGTAGCTCCGGTCCGAAAGTCAAACCTCTCTGAAAGGTGGGCATTGCGGTGGAGTTTCCCGGAGAAGACGGAACGGGATCACGGCGAATGTCATCATCGTTGACTTCGGCGACGGTAGGGAGGCGAGCGACAGGAGATGCGGTCAGCAGACTCCACGTGGGGCTTCGGACACCCATCGAGAAACACTTGCTACTCTCGGCAGCTGTGTGTTTTTCAGGAATCTGGTTGTCAATCTTATTTACGAGATCAGTCGTACCTACCGTCTCTTCGCGCGAGGGCCCCTCGCTAGTGACGAATTCGTATTGATGGGCTGAAGTCTGGACATCGTGCGATTGAGCTCCCAAGGTCGCAGCATAGTCGCTCAGGCTTGAGGCAGCCGAGCGACGGAACTGAGGCTGTGGTGTGACGAGGCAGTACTCCGAGTAGCTGCCTTGTAGGCTCTCTGTTGCCGTCTTTGGCTTGGGCGTTGGGGCCAGTGATCGGCGGAACGGGGGAGGCTCGACGAGACCGACCGACACTGAGCTTTGATATGAGCCTGGGGAGACTGTAGAGGAGAAGATGGAGGATCTTCGGGACTGCGGCGTGCCTGTCTCAGCTGGTCGAGGATCGTCGTCTTGAAAACTCTCTGTGATTGCTTGAGGGGAGCAGAATGCAGGAGACATGTTGAGTGTGTTGATAGCTTTGATGGTGATGTCGTGGGTGTCTGCGAAGGTTCCGGAGTATATATCTTCTGCCTGCGCAAGAAAGCTTCTAAGATACTGTCAGTTCCCATATATTTTGTTGTAAATACCGAATGCCCTGAAAAGAGTAAGGATTACCTTCAAGAAGCCCGGTATTTGCGAGAGAAGAAAACAGAGAACGTAATAATAGTTGGTTCGTTGGCTCCGGACGCCAGAATGGAGGAGAGGGCCGATGTGAGGAGGGAGCGGACGGGCAGAAGGGTAAGAAGATGAGTTAGAGTTGAACAAGGAAGGAACCAGATTGCGAGATTGACTGCCAGCTCACTCGATTTTCAAGTGGGTACCAAGCAGTGATATGGCGGAGGAAGGAGCGGCCGTAAACAAGTCTGGGGCGCCTTCCTCAACCCAGAATCGCTCGATCTCCCTAATAAGCCTCAAAAAACTGTGTGAAAGGTGGAGTAAGATCAAATGAAGAAAATGAATAAGTTGTGTTCACAAAATGCAAGTTCGCTATTAGAAAGTCTGTGTTGATAATAACTTGTACGAGAGAAGTCTTGAGAGTGTTTCTTCACAACTCTACGGGTCATAGTCAACATTCAAGAGAACCGGACCCCGCTAAGCATGCTATAGAATTCTCTCATCGACCAGACTTCAACCTCGACATATCTAAGGTAATAGGAATAGATACTAAATCTGGAGCTTCCTCCATGGCAAGAAGGCTTCAGGAACCGTAAGAATATGTTATGGCGACTCCTTGTCCACTGGCCGAGCCAGAAATCTCGCTCAACACATGGAAGGATGAAAAGTTTGTGATAGTCGGGTGCAGATGGTGACTAACCTCATCACTATATTACCTATCGTACACCTGTAACACTGAATTCTAAAAGGGGGAAGGAGTCAATTCCCAGTGCCTCCCATCCCCAACTACGGCAAAGCTCTTAATGGCGCTCACAGCAGCGCGTTCCGCGGAGCCCTCGACAATCATGGTCGATACCTTGAGTACCTTGTCGCCCTCCACAAAGGGAATTAAAATGCTCTTCCCATCCTCGTGCTCGAAAAATGGACATTGAAGTACTTTCCTATGTCCATCTTGCGTCCCCTGAATCCAATTGACAAGCTTCACGTTTGTACCGTCCTCCGGTGTTGCATCGCTAGCAATTGTTCGGTCTTTCTTATCCACCCTCAATAGTCTGGTAAACTGCTTAATGTGCTCAGGCATGTCCTCGAGGGGTACGGCCTCTACCCGTCCCAACTTGATCCTCTTCTCCGTGTCCGTGGTCTGGTTGACCGCAGATGACCACACGCCGCCCAGCACGCGCTGCCGCGTTGCGACTTCGGCGGCGGTCCACTCCGACCAAGCAATCCAGCGGTCGTGGTTTGTTATCTTGGGCGCGTGCGGAGGTGCTTTGTTTGAGTCCTCCTCGAAGTTTGAGGAGGAATACGCCCAGCCGACATTCACGTGCGGAGGAACGTGGACACCTCGCCGTAGACCGTCGACGAGCATTTCGGCAGCCGGCGGTGTGACAACGTCGAGCAGCTGCTGCGTAGTACAGTTTTCCGGGATTGGGATGCCTGGCAACGGTGTCTGGGCCAGTATGTCGCCGTGATCAAAGGCTTTATGGTCCAGGGTTTGAAGGGTGATGCCAGTGTGTGTGCGCCCTTGTAGGAGGGTGTGTTGGAGGGGCGCGGGGCCGCGGAATCTAAGGGTCTGATGGTTAAGAGGCTGTGTGATGATGGGGAGGCAAACGTGGATGAGAACTCACTCTGGTAGCAGTGATGGGTGAACGTTCAGACCTCCGTACTTTGCCATCTTGAGTAATCTCGGCGGCACGAAAAGACCAAAGGAGACGGCAATGATGAGATTGAAGTCACTGGGTGGCTGCGTGCGTTAGTTAATGGCACTTGGGGGATGGGAAAAAGGACCCGCGTTACCTGCCACTTGGTAAACGTGTCTCTCACGTGAATCGGTAATTTGAGCTGCTGAGCGAGGGTCCTCAACGGAACTATTCCCAGCTGTCAGCTCACTACCTTGTCATCCACTCTCATCAACCTATGTGAGTCTGGGCGGCGCGCACATACCCTCACGAACATTCTTCATCCCTCTCCCCGACGGCTTGCTCGGCCGAACCACGACCTCCAGCGACTCGATTAGTGCCGGATTTCGTTTACTCTCTGCAGTCAGCGCGGTCAGCGCTGCGCAGCTGAAGTTATCTGAGCCGCAGAAGAGGATCCGGAGCGGGTCCGAGGCGCGGCCGGCGCCGGTCGTTGCGCCGGAGTATAAGCGCGCGCCCGGCAGGCATGTCGTTGTGGCCGGCACCCGCGCGAAGGCGGCTGATCGAAGGGCCAGCCACGTCATTATTCCGAGGATTGTCCTAGTAGTTCTCAAGGCATCATAATTTGCGCGAGGTTCCTTATCCACATGTGTAGCTTTCTCGCTTGACACGGCGCATCCTTTTTTTTGATGGCCTTCAACGTCTCCTGAGCTGCTGAGTAAAAGTGGAGCTTCGACTTGACCTATCGGTTACTGGCGTACATGCCTTTGGGCATGTTATGCGTTCAGCGGGGGTATACTTCCTCCATACCTCTGCTGAGATTTCGGAAATAGCCGATTGCAGGTTGATGATTGGAATTGAACCTCAGTGAATGCAAAGACAGCCAGAAAGAAAGCGTGGAGCAATTTAACCTGACCGAAGTTACAGACTGCAGCTTCTTATGGTTCCGCGTTTTCAGTTCTCATCTCACAAAATCAGTTCCACGCTATGTTACGACAATGTTGTTACGAAGCCTGTTCACTTTGCAAAAGTGCAGCGATTCGGTGTTGTTGAGATGTATTCACTGTATCGATTCTTCTATGAGACCGCCCAATCGCATGCGACGATCCATCTACCGTCCTGAAGCTCAATCTCCCACGCAGGCTGGGAGATCGCAACGACACTACCTACGATGACAGGGGCCTTGTGTCCCAGGCCCGTCAAGTGTCCCTCCCCAGCCAGCATAAGCCGCGCGGCAATCTCTTCTCTTACATCCCCGTCACCCACAGTCCTTCGTCCCCGAACGAGATACATTCTGTTTCCATGACGAACTTCGTCAACAGCAATGCTCATAACGAGGTCTGCCGGACGGTCGCCGCCTGTCCAGCCCTTGACCTCTGCCAGCCAAGTCTGCAGCTCTGCCGCGAGGCCCCCGGCGACGTACTTTGCGCCTCGTCGCTGTGGCGAGAAAGCCTCCGGCAGGCCTTCTTGTCGGATGATTTCGGATTCGGACGGCTTGAAACGGGGGGCGCGATGAAAGGTAGGCTGTGTCCTGACCGGATCTCCTGCAGCGCGCTGAGGAACAACCAAGTCGTCCTCAGTCTTGGGCGCATCCTCGCGGAAGGGAAGCTCATCATCGGCATCTGGCAGCTGCTCGTCACCGTATTCGCTTTCTCCCGGGACAAGCTCTTCCTCTTCATATCCCATGGCAACATCTTCCTTGGGCTCCTCATGCCAGCTCAATGCTGGCGAGACCGAAATCCTTCTCCTCTTTGGTGTCCTCTCCTCAGCCTCGCTGTATAGGACACTAGGCGGCTCCGATTCAATCTCGATCGAATCATTCACCGCGACAACCATCGGCGGCAGCTCATCCTGGTCCTCATTCTCCGACGGCGAATCGCTACCGGCGTCAGAGTCGATGTCAATCCTGGGATTCTGCCTCTGCGTCCCAGCTCCTAGCATCGGTCGCGTCGCCGAGACGGGCGCATCTGTCGGGGAACTATTCAGAGCATCGTGGATCGGGTCTCGGTGTCTCGACGGTCGGAGTGAAACAGGAAACACGGGCGTCGCGGGAGGTCGCTGAGTCGACGACGGAGGGGCGAACCGGGGCGTGGGCTGGAAGCGCTGGCTACCGGCGAAGACGGGCGGGCCGCTGCCTGGTGTCTGCTGCTGCGACCCGGGAGGTCTCTTGGAAAGCAAAAATCGACGAGGTGTAGGTGTCTGCAAAGAAGATGGTTAACCAGCGATGGTCCGTGGCGCAGTGGTGGGAGGACTTACTGATGGCGGTGGTTGCGTCATTGGGGTCAGCCAAATGGACCGCGTCTTCGTCTTGGGAATTCAGAGGCGAGAAGCGGTGCGGTCATCGCGCAGGCCTTCTCTCTAAAGATGTGTATTTTCAAGCGGGTTGGGCGGGAAATGTCAACGCTGAGTTGATGTTAAGGCACAAGCTGGCGGCGGAAGCTTCATGGGCGATCGCGTGGAGCGCATGGAGTCGCGTTTAGACTGCAGGCGTCATCGCCCAACGCGGTAAGTGGGGGAGCGGCTATTGTCTGCTATCTGCATAACCCCCGTATGCGACTATTCCCATCACTTCAACACAACGGTTCTTGAGAATTTGTCAAGTTTACTGGTGAATAGCATCAAATTAATACCACAAGTTTGTACTGATGTCTACAATAATGTCATACAAAATTAAGTTGTTCTCTTCACCATTATCTTTATCTTAGTTTAGCCAGTTGTGTCCTAGAGGTCGAGCAATTTGTTGTGTACTTCCTGAAGACAGTGACTCGGCATTCCTAAGGCCAAAGGCAAATATTACATGGACGTGCGAATTATCACAAGATCTAGGTTTGATTAACCTAATTCGACGGTAATTTTGGATCATTATCCAAGTGAATTGACTTGACAAGGTCCAATGTCACAAACAAGGTCCCACAAACTTTAGCCATAGAGGATTAGTCCTTCCAGTTCATAAAGCTCGCCGTGATCTCTCCTGGGAGTGCTCAACTCTACCGAGAATTTTTATTTACTATTCGAAGTGCTCAAGTGATACAGGTTCGGAATAGTCTTGATTAGAATTCAAGTCCTTCAGTTCGCTCAGTTCTGTTTGTGCTTCTGTAGTTAGGGACTTGAGAAGAACGCATTGAGGTGCAGGATGTTCATCTGGATAATAAATTTGACTTGAGAATTGTCATACTCTGTGGGATAACGCTAATACGTTGGCCAGCTGAGGTTCTACGAGAACTGATGGCTAATTACGGGTTCAGCCAGACAGCTTGATCGCCAATAGAAGCCCTCTCCCTAACCGATCAAGTATTTCACTGCGATTTTAACCACACAAAAGGCCGTCTAAATACTGCTGAGACCATCGCCATCAACGCCTTGGAATCTTGAGATGAGAGCAGTCATACTCAATGTCAGAATTGATTGAAAACGCTTAAGGAGAACCACCGAGCCAAGCATAGCAACTGCCCAGCGGGAAGAACGGCTGACCGACAGATACGATCAAACGCTCCCCATGTCAAACCCGATACCTACATCGATCACGTCTCGCAACCGCACGCCGCAAGCCGCCTGCCTGTCCAAGGTGCGAAAAGAAACATCCCGAACCCGTACGCGGCACGCACGCAGCTGCCCAACCAGCGTACCAAACCTTACCTCGCCTTGTCCCATGGCTAGCAACACAAGAAGTTGACGTGGCCCGGGGCGCCGGCTGCCCGCAGTACGGTAGCTGCAAGTCCCGTGTCACGACGTGGCATGTATCGGAGAATATGCTTATCCTTAGATATTCTGTGCTTACACGCCCCCTTTCTAGAGGATGAGATGAACTTTTGTGTAAAGGAATGGGCTGGATGTATCCGCCACAGGCTTATCGTCGACCCGAAGCTACTGACGCTATTATGTGCCTTAATAATTTAACCCAATTCTTGCCGCCGGAAGAGGCCCTGGTGCTCACGCTGCCAGCCCAAAGCACTATCCGCTGACTCTGAATCTCGACTGCGAAGCGACCATATTACCGTACAGTATCAAGAACCAGCTACTCAAGCCTTCTTCCGCTCATCCCACCTCCTAACAATATCCCCGACCAAATCTCTTCCACTCTCAGCCCCCTCAACCCTCAACTCCTCCGCTTCAACCCTCCCCTGGCGAATCCTCGCCTCGGCAACAACATCCCCAACAGGCCTCTCCCCTATAGCCCTCGCACAAGAAAGCTCTAGTTGCCGAAGCGTGATACCTAGCCCTCCAACAAGAATGTTGACTAGCGCCAAAAGCACCCTCAGAAGTGCGAGCGGCACCTCGAGGACCACCCTCATCAAGCTTCTTCCTCTGGCTCCCTTTTCTCTCCTCTTTCTTCTGTCCTCCAGGAAGCGCGCCGGCTGCGTCACGACAGAAGCGAGCTCGACAAAGGGCGCGGATAGGAGGAAGAGGAGCATGCGCGGGTAGGAGTACAGCCGCGGGTTACTCGCGTAGAGCTTCGGCTCGAAAGGCGAGGCGAGTTTGTAGAGGATGAAGTCGAGTAGGTTGAAGAGGCCAAACGCCACGGCGGCTAGGATCGTCAGAGGAGCTATAAATATCAATAGTTAGTCATAGTCTCAATCACAGGTGATAAGAAACAGCATCATAAGAATCACGAGAAAGCAGCCAAAACTGACCTCTCAAAACATGAAGACCCAACCGTCCCCATTTCCCCGTCCTCCCACCCGCAGCAACACTCCCAAACGCCTTTTGCACCTCGAGAACCAACCCCGTCACTGGGTCCCCAGGGCCCGTCAAATCAGGCCACTTGACCACCTCCAACACCTTCAAGTCCTCCCTCCTAACCCTCCCACTCTCAACAAGAACATGCGCCGCAACAGCAGACAACTTCTTCTCCCCTCCCTTCCCAGTCGTCGCTAACCTCCAAACAGCAGGCCGTCCATCATATACAACACACCTCCCCTCCCTCTCATAAACCCTCACCGTCTCAAGCACCTTCTCAACGCAAACCTCCTCCCCAGGCCTCTCCGCCCTCACGGCAACCGCAAATCTCTCCGCGGCAGCAGCGTATCCCGGCTTCAAAAGCTCCCTCAACCCTTCCTCGAATCTCTCGCTATTCATCTCCGCCAACCCATACTTTGCCTCCGGCCCGCACCCGACAGCGTGGACCCTCGAGCCCCAAAACGGCTGGTCCCCGGCAACGGGCACAACGAGCGTGGGCCGCCCGCTCCGGAGCGCCATGGCCGTCGTCCCGCTCCCTCCGTGACACACCACGGCCCTAACCCGGGGGAATAGCCACGCGTGCGGCGCCTCATCGAGGATGAAGATGTGTGACATATCTCTCTTCCCACACCCCTCGCCGTCATCTCCCTTCCCAACCCGTCCAACGTTCTCCTTGACCAAGTTCGACCACCCTTTCCCAACAACAGCCCTGACCCCAAACCTCCTCACCGCCTCAAAGATCCCCTCAAACACGTCCTGCGCATTCGCAAACGACATGCTCCCGAACCCGATGTACACCAGCGGCGTCTCCGGGTCGGCCTCCAGGAACGCAACCAGCTCCGTAGAGGGCGTATACTCTGACGGTACGTCCTCGAACACGAAGCCCGCGACGTCGATGTTGTCTGCCCAGTCACTCGGCTTCGGGAGGAGCCTCGGCGACCAGAGGTACGTGCAGGGGACGTTCATCCTGTTGTACTGGCTCAGCCACCAGGCGGGGGACATGCTCTCCAGGCCCATTACGTTGACGCGGACGTCGTTGATGACAGATTTCATCGCTTCGAGGAACCTTGTCGTGTGTTAGTTGAAGGACACAATTCGAGCACCCCTCATCCTTCAACCCTTCTGAGCTACAACCTCGCCCTCCCGTAGCTGTTCTAATGAAGAGAGAATATGCCCAACTCAGAAGAAGAAATAACCAAGAGCAAATCGTTCAGAACAAGACAGAAAGAAGAAAAGAACGGGGAAAGAAGAAGGGGGAAGAAACTCACATAAAATCCTGAACCCACCAGGACAAAACATTCTTCCACCGACTAGGCCCCTTCAAAGCCCACCCAGCCTGCGAATGCGGCAGCTCCTTCGAGAAAATCCTCGGGTTCATCCCAAACAGGTGCAACGGCACGCCCAGCCTCGCCGCCGCAGACGTCTGGTTATACACATGCATCGTAGACATGACCAAATCCGCTACAAACGCGCCTCTCTCCCATCCACCATCTACTCCCCCTCCATCCTCTCCATGATCAAACCCAAACCCATCAACGCAAGCCCCCCACCACCTCTCCCCCATCTCCCGAAACTCCTCCCGGATAACCGGCACCAGCGCATTCAGCTCTTTCCGCGGGAGCAGCCGCCTTTCCATCATAGTCTTGATGTCCGTCCTGCCGATCCCGTAGAACCCGACCCCTGCGGCCTCGACGGCGGCGCGGTACGGCGGGTGGCTTGCGATGCGGACGCGGTGGCCGTGCCGGCGCTGCAGGAGCTTGGCGACGGCCAGGGAGGGCTGGAGGTCGCCGCGCGAGCCCATGAAGAGGATGACGATGTTGAGGCGCATCGTTGATGTGCCCGGCGGAAGATCCGTAACCGGCATCGGGACCAGATCCCCTTTTGGTGTTGAATTGGAGCTTGACGTCGTCATGGCGTTGGATATTGATGCCGTGGTACTAGGGTGCGTATCTCCGTTTTGGCTATGCTCTCCAAGGGACATGATGGACCGCAATACCCCACGAATATCAATGGTCGCGTCGCAGTTAAAGCAGGCTCACCTACATCCATCAATGTCAATGCTGAAAGAAACATGAAAAAACATATTGATAATAAGTCACATTGTACGGATTGTTCGGTGCTTGCTTCTTCTCCTATCCCTCCGAAATCTTACGTGAGGCGCTAATTAAACCTAGGTAGGTTTTTTCCTATTACAACTGGGCTCAGGCCAATGAAAAGTCTCGATACACGACTGCCCTGGCTTGGAAATATCTAGGTAGGCAACAGGCTGGACAAAGAAATACTCCGAAGTTGTAGTCAATCAACACCGTCCGGGACTACACAATATCGCGATTCCGTGTTCATGGCCACCCCGTGACCCGCAAATTTCACTGGTGGCCGGGCCCGTGAGGGTAGTGTAATCAACCCGGGCCTTTGCTTCCGGAAGGTTGGGGGGCCCACTGCGAGTGTGTTCGGGGAGCTCTCGGCGTCCCATGAGCCGGGGAGGGGGGGAACAAGGACAGTTGCACATGTCGTCTCTTATTCGGATTCGCCACCTTCATCTTCACTCACGGACCAACCCACCATCGTCATCTCTTCAAGAAGGATGCGTGTGGTTGTCACAGATCAATCAAGGCATATTTCTCTGGTCCGTTTTGTTTTTCGCCATACTGGACAGATTCAAAGTTCAGACTGCATGCCGAAAGGTGCCCTGATCCCTGGCCTCTTCAGGCCGCCGATGCGAAGGTAAAGAGAAGAAGAAGTTTAGGAGCACAGATAGGTGTGCGATCGGACGTGCCCTCCATTCTCTTCCCTCTCTTGAGTCTTGTCTCTTATGGCCTGCCTCCCAACTTTTCGGTTTCGCCATCAGACGATGACACATGTGAGACCTTAACGCCGGATGGGAAAGTCGAGAAAGACCGACGGGGAAAAGATGGAGTTACATCTGTCCACCACGTCTGAAGTTTCCTCGGGCGGTTGACGTAAGGGGCAAATGACAACAGAGAGAAAGAGAAGAAAAGTCTGATGGTCGAATGGGCAGGCTCTCTCTCTCTCAAACCGTTGCTGTGAGACGCACAGCAACGCTACGACGTTACGACCGACTGACTCGAAAGGGAAACCCAATGTTGTTTTTGTCTCAAGCAGTCACAGTTTTGGTCAAAGGGCTTAGCGAAGGGCACTCTCAGCTTCCAGAATACGAAAAGAATGAAACAAACAACGATGCCCAGAGGCCCCAGACAGATGACTTGCTGCTTGTTGTGCCCACGGGCCCTTTGATGGAAGCTCTCAGTCTTCTATATTCGGCAGCGGCGTTTGTCTCAAGGCGCGGACGGAAATTGGAGGATCTTGTGGGGGATGAGATAGCGGCTGGACCGACCGATGGCGGTCCGGTCGATCGAGTTCGCTTGCTCAAGCATTCGGCTCATCACCACGGATGACTGTCTGCCTGTCTGACTCGCTAATCTGCGACCATGCTGGTGACCGATGGTCAATGTCGATGAGCCGACCGCTGAGAGCGGGGCAAAACATGAGTTGACTTGTCGTGTTGTGCATGCCGCCATAGCCATAGCCATAAGCCTCTTTTGATATCTGAGGCCTTCAAACACTTTATTGTGTGCTCAATGGCTTTGAGACACGCTTCAAAGCCTTCGAGGAACACCGCATGCCTCGCGACCATTGACCAAGGCATTTACATTGTGTCGAGCCAAGTACGTAAAGAGCACGCAGTAGGCCAGGCGCAACCAGACCAAGGTTGGTTAACCTTAACGTTAGCGGCCTTCCACTGCAGGCACCTGACACGCCTCTGCCGACCGCTCGCACGTACTGGTGCATACGGGGCCATGTTGGTCTCGCGGAATATTTTGTGATTCGGGCACCGACGGGGGTTAGCAAGGCGCCGCCTCTGCAACGTGTGTGCAATGGCGCATGGCCGTAAGCAGAATTTGGGACGGCGTCGGTCCACAACACTTCCAGCGTCGTAGTCGCAAGGAACAGGCCGCTGAAGAATACTCCTCGTCCCCTCGTCGTTCGAACTCTTGGGGCCACCAAAAAGATCCGCGAAGAAGGGGGGGAGACGGAAAACTGGAGATGGTGTGATGCTCGTGCTGGCAAATGACAGCGACAAGTGGCAGTGGCAGTGGCAGTAGCTTGGATGAGTGGCACTGAAGTAGGTCCCGAGTCTTTCTTCGTATCATGATGGCGTTAGTGTAGAGGATAAAAGTTGAGATGAAACCATTGTAAATCACTCGAGACCAGGGTCTGAGGGTGCAAGCTTGGGAGGTTGTCGCTTCGAGATGATCGGCGCAGGGATATCGCCCTGCAGCAGTCCTTGTCAGAGGTTGTTGACCTGCGCTGGCTTGGGAGTTTGGCGGGCTGGTCTGCCGGCGGCCACAGAGGGCCTGGAGACAGCTGAGTATTGTCTCGTCCGTCCCCGGGTATCTTTGCTCAGAGGCCTCGGGCCCGAGACCGAGGGTAAGGTGTCGAAGACGAAAGGCTAGGAGCAGCATCCACTAATCAAGCCTCTCAGACGAAGACGTGTCGTCCGTAGCTCGATAGCGTCGTAGGGCGGGCAGGCGCTTAATTCTTTTCCACTGTGTCGTAGAAATGAGGGTAAAAAACTAGATGAAGCTGGTGTCGGTGCCGGTGCCCATGGTTTTCGGGTGCGCCCTGGAGCTAGACCTTGTCGACCCAAGCTTCCGTGGGCCGAGTTTGCGTCGCATCCCTCTCCGTCAACCCATCTTCTTCGCGGAAGCCAAGCTTGAGGCACCTTAGCTGCTACCAGGACAACTTACTTGAGGCCATGGAAAAGGCGCTAAGTGGCACCCATCGTCTTTAGTGGGTGGACTGGCCACGATCCGGCGCATCTCGCAACGTGTGCGATGAGTGCCTGTGCTCACCGACTTTCGTCAGCGAAGCATGAAGCAAACTTGGGAAGAGGGCGCAAAAAGAACGCGGAACAGAGAGGGCGAGAGAGCGGGAGAGCTAGTCATCGCTCAATCGGAGCAGGTCTAGATTTTGGTCGGTCAGCAAACAGCTGGCTAGTGTGGTCCATTGGTCGCTCAAGATGATGATCAGTGATGATGAACGATGCGATGACACTTGGCAGCTGCTGTTGCTGATGCTGATGCTTCCGCCAGCAACGGGCAGGATTAGAGACGGTAGCGGAACCAGTAGAAACACTGCTGGAGCATGCCGTAATCCGTTAAGCTAGGACTGAGCCCTCTGAAGGGGGAGAGAAACTCGAGACTCTGCATCTGCGGGTGCTTCGGCGTGTCAAGCCAGCGTCTGGTCTTCTGACAATCTCGCATCGCACGCCGGTATTGTTCTGGCGTCCCATGGCCCCGACACAAGCTTGTTTCCCTTTGGACGTTTTGCGATGGCCGTTTTATCCTGAGTAAAAGTGCCATAGGCACATAGCATAGCTAGAGGAGTGTGGAATATTGGTTTCCGTCTCGCGGACCTCGCATATTTTGGATCTTTCGTCCCGTGTGCGGCGGCCGGAAGCTGAGGTTATCCGCTGCAAGTTGGACAATATTGGGCAAAGCGAGACAAGCCTTCACGGTGAAGTGAAAAAAGACGATGACTGGGGGTGGTAGAGAAGCGTGAGAAGGTCGGAGGGAGCAGGGGTGACCGTTGGAGATGTTCCTGAGTCTTTTCGCCCAACGTTCCATTGCTGTCTCCAATGACAAGAGGAGTGGACATCAGCTGAAACATCTGCAGCTTCTTGGGTGGAGACGTTGGACCCACCTTCAAACCCAGAGAGTCCACACCTTCCTCCTTCCTCCTTCACACCCAGGGCAACAGGTACGTATCTTTTCTCTGTCATCGTGAACAGAAGGGAAGGGAAGGAGCCACCTCGCGGAGCACAGGAGGAGAGTGGAAGGGGCGGGGGACGTACCTAGGTCCAGGTCTCCGTCCTCAGGCTTCTGTCCATCTTGCACCTGCCTCGGACGGATACTTTGTCATGGTCTTCGTCTCGTCAACATCCTTCACTTTTTGTCCAGGTTGCTTCCCCTTCACGGTGGCACTAGCTCCGTGGGCTGACTGACCGGGCTCGACTAATGGCAAGACATGTGTGTCATGTCTATTGTGGTGAAAGTAACTGAGAGAGAGAGAGAGAGAGAGAGAGAGAGAGAGCGTATGTGTGTGCCTTGTGTCCTGTGCACACTTGCGTAGCCTCTGCGGATAGGTGGGTGGAATGAAGGATTCAATCGACCGATGTGCTGATGGGATGGTCAAAGATGGGACAGATGACATACTGGTTGGTTCTATAGAGAGGGAAATGCCCTGTATCAACGTATCTTGTTTGAAGGCAGATGCTAGCTATCGCCACTATAGTTTATTGTACGTCGTAATGGTAATGGCTTTTTTGCAATACGGCCTTTCATGCCGCGAGACTGCGATTATTCACTATGGGCTTTTCTTGGAAAGAATGAAAACGTAACTCAGTTACTTAGTTAGACTATATCCGTAGAGTCCGTGGTAAATGTCGTATTGCCAGGTGAGTTATTCTGAGCTTCTGACCCCATCCCACCATGTTCAGGACTCAGGAGACACGTCCAAGTATAGTCACGACCCCTGCACCACTTTGCCCCTCAACTTGCTCTACCGTGGTCCGTGACAGAGTTGACCGTATAATGGTCCATGTACTGCACTGCGTATACTCCGTACTGGTAGTGGAGGCAAAGGATGCGCCAGGAGCACCGACAGAAAGGGGAACCTCGCCCGGCCCAACTCCGTTTCGTGACCCTCGTGAGTTTTTGTGTTGTTTTCAGCTACCTTATGGGAACTGGGAGGGAAGGAAGGTCCAGCGAGAAGAGACGCCACTTTCTCAGGCACCAAACTCCAAGG